CGTATATCTTCAGGAGGGGAGGGGGGGTAGGGAGTTATTATGGTGTGACTCCTCCCTTCAGAATTGCATGTGTTTTGGGAGGAGGGGAAAGAAGGATGATTTGTTGCTCGTTTATGTYAAGASCTATGGACATTTTCATTTCGTCCAYCACATTTTAGTGCCTTAAATAAAACTTTTATTGAAGTTTTTTGTTAAAAGAATGGAATCTATTTTTTTGTTTGATTCTTTAGACTGACTCGCCTCAGCCAAGAGGCAGATATACTCCTTTCCCAGCCTAAAGTACTAACGGTACGTGCAGGGGAGACCCAAGAAATTTCTACTGGTATACCAGACTTGTTTGAAGCAGTCAAGATACTCAAAGCAAGAGAAAGGGCAAAGGAAATGATGACGACGACGAGAGAAGCCTCAAGGATTCCTGGGGAAATAAGTCCACCCATGGGAGTCAAGATCCAATACTCGGGTCATGATCACGCGTGGAAACTAAAGGCAAGTTGGACAGCAACAATTTATGGTTCACATCCACTTACGTAATAATTAAAATAAAATAAAATAAAATAAAATAACGGGGTTCTTATATAGCGCATTTTACATGGTCTCAATGCGCTTCACAATCATGACCAGTGGAGGACTTTACGGGCTGYGTATTTAGGCGCTAGTAGCAGCCGTGCAGCTTACAATCATGAGTGATTTGTTAGTAAGTTAATATTAATGCCTCCAGATTGGGATAGGCTGTTGAAGCGGGAGACAATCCCCTACTCTTATACGAATAATTCAACAGGTTCTTTTATGTCCCCCATTTACTGTTGGTTAGGAAGGGTTGGGAGACAGGGCCTACGGTTTTAAGTTCTTATCCGAGAAGACTTGAAGGTCTAACCATTTGCAGATGTAATTACRAAGGCAGCACCTTCTCCTCAGTTATTTTAAGACCCTGAGTGTTGGTCCGGCCGAAAGCTTGAACCACGACCTCCCGCACAACAGACCGATGCTCTTACCAACTGAGCTAATGTTATGTTCCATAACAACTTACGGGCTAGAACATTGCAGAATTCTAATTAATGCACAAGGATACTGAAGTTTTTCAGCATAGACAAAAAAAAACAAACAACAAAAATCCTTACAGCCTTGGTAATGAGTTATGTTCTTGGTGAAACTATGACCTTTATATATGGGGTGTCGAGAACCGGAGAATAGAAAGAGTAAAAGGGCCCTAAAGTGGCTTTGCACCACCAAGTAACGGCAGCAATGTTAGATGGCAGGAACAATACAATCATAATTCAATTCCCAAGAGCAAAGGGATTTTATTGTTCTGCCATCTAACCACAGGCAGTCCAAGCTGTATTATGGGCGCCAGCATATGATGGTGCAAAGCCTCTATCCTCTTACTTCCCCTCTCAACTTCATCGCTGTCCCATACTGGAAATCGTTCAAAGGAGAGAAAAAGACGGGGACAAATTTATGCTTTATGATTTTTGACTAAAGATTTCATTTTGTATCATCAATACAGAACAAGCCATCTCCTTCTCAAGTGGTCATAGCAACGCCTCGAATACTGGACCTCGACGTAAACATGACACGAATTGCTGCTCATCAGTAAGCTTGCTCGTCTGTCTCTTCTTTCTTTCATTACTTCTTTCTATTAGTCATTCCGAAGTTGAGTTAACATTTCTAGAGCATTTCAGGACTATGCCCCTTAAAAACAATCCCACAGTGCACTGCAATGTCAACTCGAACCAGTTTTCCTCGAAAAAGTTCATACCTCTCCCATTTTCCGCCTTCCTTGTAATAGACCATTTCCCAGATCCCGCGGCTCAACCTCAGCCTCGTCAGCGTGTAATATATTCTTTAGAAATTGAATTTGATAAAATATTTGTCCTTAGTGTTGAACCTTTTGTTATACCAAGCAATATGGTTGCCGTGTCTTTTGTTATTTTATTCTCTTGAGAATTATTTGAAAACCAGCAATTGGGAGGGGAGACTTAAGAAATATGTTGAACAGTTACCCTCGACAACGAAAGCCTGACCTGCTCGTGTGAGGACAATACTTCGTCTTCACAATGTCATTAGGCTCACGGTTAAAGTTCGCCTTTCATCGCCACGGGTGGCTGGTTCTATCGGTCCTGCGTATTTTCATCGGGCTTCCCGTCAAGGGATATTCATAACGGTGCTCAGTTTGACGTTAGACCATAGAAAGGGATGGCTTCTAATTAAGTTTGAACTTTTTCCTTTCGTTTTTGTCATTACCCTTAGGATTCTTTCTCACGTAAGCAAGATGTCGTGGAATCAAGCTTCACAGAGTCTACCCTCGCTTAAAACTGTCACATCAAGAAAATTCCCAGCAATTCAAAAATCCTTGAGTCAGCCGGCACCAAGGAGAGAAAATCTCTTGGGGGAAAAGAGAGCCTTGGCGCTTCCACCAATCGCCACATTCTACTCCTCAGAAGATATACAGCAGCAGAAATACACGAAAATCAAGCAATGAATAAAGACGAAATATGTATTCGAAATCTACTCGTTTTATTATCTATAAATGTATCAGAAATAATGATAAAATCAATCATAATAAATCTATGTAAAGTTTACTTCATGTTTGTTCTTGCATTTGAAATTTATAAGTATACAACTTTTCGATGAAACTCTCCTTACGGACACCTATATTACAGACACCTCTATATTACGGACACCTCTATTTTACGGACACCTCTATATTACGGACACCTCTATATTACGGACACCTCTATATTACAGACACCTCTATATTACGGACACCTCTATATTAAGGACATCTTTATATCACAGACACCTCTAAATTACAGACACCTCTATATTACGTACACCTCTATATTACAGACACCTCTATATTAAGGACACCTCTATATTATCGACTCCTCTATATTACGGACACCTCTATATTACAGACACCTCTATATTACGGACACCTCTGTATTACGGTCACCACCGTATATTATGGACACCTGTATATACAGTCACCTCTATATTACGGACACCTCTATATTACGGACACCTCTATATTACGGACACCTCTATATTACGGACACCTCTATTACGGACACCTCTATATTACAGACACTTCTATATATTACAGACACCTCTATATTATGGACACCTCTATATACAGTCACCTCTATATTACGGACACCTCTATATTAAGGACACCTCTATATTACGGACACCTCAATATTACGTACACCTCTATATTACGGACACCTCT